CTTCCCGAGCAGGGCTGCCGGATGGCGTTCGCGGGCCCCGGGTTTCAGAAGCCGCCGTGCCTCTGAACGGCCCCAGCGGTGCGCTGGTGCTGCTGTGTCAGAGCTGTCGGACGCGCCTGTGACCCATCAAATAAGCAACGGCTCCTCTCGTCGTACAGCGATGGGGTTTGGGGAGGGGGAGGAAAAGCTGTCAGTTGTCCCTCTGTGCTGCTCCTAACTGCGGCTTCGTAGGCACGATGTACCAGTGCCGCAGCTTCTCTTCCAGGCATTTGAACCTCCTGCTTTTCTAACGTAGTTCGTACCCCAGGACGTGGGTTGGTCGCTGTCGTTGTCTGTTTTGTCCTTCATTTGTCACCTTTGGCAGCCGTAAATGGCTTTTCCCGTGGTGCAGGCAAAACTGGAGAGATGTTAAAGTGGAATAAATAACTTGGTCTTAAACCATGTATGTCGAAACTTACAAGAACATACTTGCATTGCTGTTATTTTTCTTGTTCTCCATTTTCTGGTAGTTTTACAGCATGACGGAAAGGCAAATACGAAACTATAATAGTATATTAACAAGACAGAATAGACTAGGAAGGGGAATATAGAAGAAAACTGAGATACAAAAGAAAAAAAAAGCTTTGAAGTGCTGGCTGCAGTTCTGCAGCAGATCAGCTGATGCAATTGCTGGCTGCTGGAGTCCTGCCCCCTCTTGTCCTCTGCTGGTTGCAGTACTCTTTACACACTTGAAAATATTTGGATACTGAACTGGTAGAGGACTAACCCAATTAATGAAAAAAAAACCATTGAAATGTTTCTGCTGGATTACTGTGGACAAGTGATGATATGTAAAGGTTCGGTAACTGTCAAAAGTTGGGGGAGGGTGAGAGGTGAAATTGCAGCAACCAGCAGTTAAGTCAGTGTTGGCTGCTGTGAATCTCCAGCCTCTGTTTTATGTATTTCATTCCATCAGGAGTTCTAATGAAAACAGTCCTCTGCCTCCTAAACAGGTTAGCTTAGAACAGTCCGTTGTGATTTTTTTTTTCTTTTCCCCTCCGATTGCTAGCTTTGAATTAAGTGATTGCAAGAGATCTAATAAATTAGTTTCACTTCTGCTAGTTCAGTCACAGCTTATTCTAAGGAACTTGCAGGCTTTTTTGGTTTTGTTTTATTTTGGTTTTTTTTTTGCTTAATGATGTTGAGTTTTTCAAGTAACTAGTAAAAGTGTTTTTTCATGTGCTGAGTTACCTAGCATGTGTTGGAAGGGGACGACGTTTTAACTCCAATTCTCCATTTTCTTCGTGAACCACAGAAACAAGCAGCTTTTCATATTTTCTTTCTGTGTCTCTTTCAGCTGTGCTGGAGTGTGTAGATATGAAGGAAAAGGTGGAATGTGTTCCATTCGTCTAAGTGAGCCGCTCCTAAAGTTAAGACCAAGGAAGGATCTTGTTGAGGTATTTGAAGATTGTTCATGAATCTGCACGTAAAATGTATTTCATCTCCCCCCTACTCCATGCAGACATTTTACATTTCATAGTGGGATTCTTATACACAGTGGTGACTTTATTGTTATATTTGTGTTGCTTGTGTTGCAATGTCATGGTAATCTTTCAGTTTTGTGTTTCTAAATGGGCAACTCTGAGTAGGAGTCTGAAGTCACTTGTTTATTTTACTGGCTTTATAAAGAAAAAAAAACTAACTTTTTTTTACTCCTAAATTATCCTCTAACAATAAAAATAAACATGGGCTGAAAGCACAATCAGAAAATGGATGTAGTTTCATCTTTTAGGTCAAAAGGCCAGCAGCAGAAAATAAGGATATAGGATATGACTGTAAACATAACTTTGTGTTGCTTCTTGTGCCTCTGTCAAGGCTGCTTGTTTGAGTTGGCTTGACATTCAGATTTGCTTAATGAACAGAAATGCTGTAAAGTTTCAACCTTCCCACGAGTGTCTCTCTTTTGGGTTGTAGAGGGGATGATCTCTTTAAAGATCTGACTTAAGTTTGAGGACCGTTCCTCCTTTTTGGAATGTCACTTACTGTAGTAAAATTCTCTAGCATGTTTTGGTGGTATGGGAATAGAGGTAATTTGATTTGGCAGAATAAGCATTATGTTTTTATTACCCAGACTGAACATGTGAATGCATGAAAATAAGATCACTACCAAGACAAATGTAGAGGAGTAAAATACTTCCAGCTTAATTTTGAAACTATATGTAATGCTTTTCGGAAAACAGCTAATGATTTGCATCATTTCAGACACTGTTGCATGAAATGATCCATGCCCTGCTTTTTGTTACTAATAATGACAAAGATCGTGAATCTCACGGACCAGAGTTCTGCAAACACATGCGTCGCATTAATCGCTTGACTGGAGCCAATGTCACAGTAAGCATAATCCACTTAACCTAATTTAATAGAGGTTTCTTCCTGATTTGGTTTTTTAGTATGCCTGGTGTGGTATGAGTAATATACTTGTTCTTGTTAGACACTCCACAGTTGGTACCAATACAAATTTGCATCCAAGTGTATGCCAGTTCCATAGTTATTTTGTTGGGGACAATGGTGGGAACAGGTTGAGGAAGATGTGGTGAGTTACTAGTCATACAACTTTCAAGTATACCCTCTGTAAGTGTTTTCCTTTAAACTTTTGTTCTAAACTTGAAACAATTTAATGATACCCAGGGACAGAATAGCTCCATGTTCAGAATGGAACAAATTTGAGGAAAAGCAGTCTGTTTTAGTTAAGATTTATATCAGTAGAGGCTAATGGGTTGATGATATTTAAAAATAATGTGTCTGATACGATCAATTAAGGTAATAGCTGGAGGGAGAATACAGTACTGGTATTGTTTACAATGCATTCTAAACAGTATGCCACGTAGGGTGAAATTAAATTGTAGATAGATTTTTAAAATGATGTTATTGCCGTTCAAACAAGATAGCCAGGACATATTCCTATACATCCTGTCTTTTTTTTAAAGCTTTGTTTTAATGGTATCTAAATGTTGATCAAATTTCACCCAGGTTCAGCTCTTTTAGCTGGTAATGTAGAAATCACAGCAGTAATGGAAGGAATGGAATAGTAATATATTAAAAAAAAAAAATAGAGCTAGTGATACAAAATGAGAACCTTTCTGAATGACTGGGTGTTTGTTTGGGCTTTTTTTCTTCTTTTTTTTAAACCTAGATCTATCATACTTTTCATGATGAGGTGGATTTGTACCGCCAGCACTGGTGGCGATGCAATGGCCCCTGTCAAAATAGAAAACCTTACTTTGGATATGTGAAACGTTCAATGAATAGAGCACCCTCTGCACGAGACTTTTGGTGGGCTCAGCATCAAGAGACGTGTGGAGGTACATTCACAAAAGTGAAGGAGCCAGAGAACTTCTCTAAGAAATCCAAGGAGAAAACCCAGCCAGCAAAACTTCCAAATTCAGAGTTAACTAGCAAAGGTATTTAAAATAATTTTTTTTTCTTTTCTTTTCCAGACTGTTTTTGTCCAAACAGTTCCTTGAACAAATACAGACCGAGCACTACATGAACTCTGTTTAGATATTACTGTTTCGTAGCAAAGAACAGGGCCCATTTTATTTGTGCGTTTCTAGGCTCCTTCTCAACTGTTTGCAAAAGGTTTGGTTTGCTGCACTGTTTTCAGGCAGCAGATTTTTTTGGCGATGCACATAAAATACTAAGCCTATGATTTGTATATGAAAAAGCTATTAACTTTTCTTACTTTCTTCTCTTCTTATTTTGCAGGCAAGACACAAACACATGATACGCAAGATCTGATGCCTTTTAGTGGAAAGGGATATCGGCTTGGAGGAGGAGACAGTGGTCTTTCAGAAAAAAGCACAGATTCCAGCAGCAGTGTTAGAAACAGTGAAACACCTGGTTCACAGCATCGCTCAACACTAAAGACAATACCAATCCCGAAAAATGAGATAAAATTTGAAAAATCGCCCCGTAGTGGCATCTTCTTTCCACTTTATGCTGATGATGCCAGTGAGAAAATCAACTTAGCTTCAAAGCGCGAGTTTCCTAAACCCTCTGTTGCTAATACAAAAGCTTACAAGAATGTCAGTGGATCGCCTATCAAAATTGCTCGTGTTACAGAAGAAAAATCAAACCAAGGTTCTGCAAATGGCAAGAGGGTTATGCCACTTTATAACAGGCCACCGAAACAAATTTGTTTTGAGCAGGAAACAACAGCCCAGGTTGCATCTGAGAAAAAAAGCTCGGAACGTACTAATGCACTGCAGCAATGGCCAAAAATGGAAGACAAAACTGCCTTTGAAAACTATTTCATTAAAAAGGGGAGTACTGATGTCACTTTAAGTATAAATACACCTATGAAAACCAAAGCTGAATCTACAGTGTCCTCTGCAAGTTCCAGCACTGCTGTAAGGCAGGATAAAAAAGTCAGTTGTCCTGTTTGCCAGACAGAGGTTTTGGAGTCAAAAATAAATGAACACCTTGATTCTTGTCTTGCATAAAACCTTTCGGAAAGCTGTCTCAAAAAGATAAAACAGGGCTGAAAACGTGGCTTGAAAACTACTTTGCTCAGGGTTTGCTTAGCTGTGGTTAGTTCCCTGTGTGCCTGTTCTGAACTGGAATTTAAACTACTGTCAGCACGCTGAACAACAAGTTTTGTGGAGTTGCACATGGGTGCTGACTAGGAAGCTAGCTGCTACTTGTGGTCCAAAGAACTGAATACTCACGTTTCAGTAGGTGGATGTTTGTGCTGACGTTCTTGCTGCAGAATCTGGGTAATACAAGAGAAGGTGGATACTTGCTGAACTGCGTGTTTTCAAGGCAGTTTTTAAAATTAAGACATTTTTAATCCTGCTAATTTATCTTTGTTCTTAAGACCCCTTTGTTGTTTGGGTTTTTTTAAGTGTTTTTGGCCATTCTTAACCACCTATAATAGATAAGAACTCTTCTGTTTACTGCAATGTAATTAAGTGGCGTGTATTTTTAGAGTAGTAAATATTTTGCATAAGCCACAATTACACTCTCAGGTGGTTCTTCTCACCCGTGACCTTTTTGAAAAGATAGGCGAGAGTGAGAATCTCAAATACGGGCTTTTGTCAAAGATGGAAGAGGCACGAGCATCAAAAACATAGCAAAGCATCCATTTAGGTTTAATGGGTGGATTGTAGCAGGAAAAGAGAAAATCCAGAAGGGCAATGAAGGTGCGAGGAAATCAAGCACAAGATAACTTGGTAGATGAGGAGAACGCTCTACCCTTAAGGGCTAATTAAAAAAAAAAAAAATCATTTTGAGGAGCTTGCTTTCAAAAAGGATTTAAAAATTAGCTATACTGTTAAAAGTTGGAGTGGTCAAATGGAAGCTAACTTCAGTCTTACGCGTGTCGTTTGGTCCAGGATCCCAGCTAGATTCTCCACCTGCTTTTTCTGATGGTTTGCACAAACTCTGTTTAAAGTTCATTAGTTTTTAGGATATAGGTATTATGTGCACGAGTAACTGACCCCCATATCCTGACACTAAGTAAGTAAAAGTTGTGAGGAATATTGGTAGCAATACTGGTAAAGGCTGTTCCTGGCCATGTCATAAAAGCCTTCCTGATTTTTTCAGTTCAACTTCCAGTGCTGTACAGGTCAAAACGGCGTTACCTTGACATCAGCTGACAGCCTTCATTTCGCTGCTTCTGGAAGCCGGCCAGTTTGGTGGTCAGTATCCAACAAGCCAGTCAGTTGAGTACGAAAGCCATTGTGCTGTGGGAAGTTACGAATGCTGAGCGGATGTGTTTTCTGTATAAACTTTCTGAAACGTTAACGGTCCTCTTGCTGCACTGAAAGTATTTAACTGGTTAAACAGTTAACAGCTTGATTCCTTCCTTGTAAAACTGATTATTTTTGTTTAAAAAAAATAAAAAATAATTACGCTGTTTCATATGTTGTTGCTACAACTTTAAATGGCTATATTAGCCTCGGATGCACATATGTTTGCCTTTATATAGTGAATTACTTGCTGTTCCCTTTTGAAATTGAGAAATAAACTGATGTGCAATGGAATTTGGCAAATTATACCTTTACTCTTTTTAAACATTGGTGTATTTTTTTTTTAAATGCTGACACTACAGATGTTTAATGTTAATCGGATTGTTCTTGCATGTTCTGAATAAATTGGTACTGAGTTTTAAATTTTCATTAAGCCTGGGTTTCGCATGGCAGTCGTGGCCATCTTGTGTTGCTCACCTGTGGGCTCACCTGTATATCTAGTAACAGTCTGGTTTAATAGATCCTTTCTGTATTAACACTTTTCCTTCTTAAATTTCCCCGTAAACACGGGTGTTGGTGAATATGGACTGCATCAACCTCTGCCTTCTCCATCATATGTTTAGTACAGTTTCACTTTTGTTGCATTTCTGTGGGAAAATTTTACAAATACTGATTCTAAAACTTGATTTGCCATGTTAATTTTCCATACTTCCTTCTTAAAACTGCAGTATCTGTCAGTGTTCCTGGTGAAACGTGACATTCACAAGGACAGTACTACTCAGAAGTATTTGTACTATCATATGTTTTTTAAGATGAGGACTAGATTCACATCATGGATGGTCTCTCACATGGTGAAGCATTTTTTTGAGAGCTACTTCGCTTACTATTGTTCCCATCAGTTTCCGGGTTTGTCTTTCCCACTGCAACCGATAAAAGTAAAGGATTGCTCTGGGAAGGGAGGATTGTGGGTATTGTTAAATACATTTTCATATTCAAAAATATTTTTTTTTTCTAATGTCATCTTTTACATCAACTGTTCATTTGAACAACAAAGAGAAAACCAATGTGGGAATTGGCCTGTAGAATTCGGCGAATAGTACAGCCTGTCGGGGGGCTGGGGGGGGACTCAAGCGATAGGCAAGTCCTGCCTCAAATATACAAGTGTCCCAAAATAGATCCGTTTTCAAAACAATTGAGCAATTTTGGAGCAGCTGTGGAAAAACATCACCTCTGCCCAGGCGTGTTTTTACAATGAAGTATTATGGTGCCAAGATCTCTTTTATACAGAGATAAAGGTGACAAAAGAGCTGGGTGGACAGGCTTTGCGGTTGCTACCTATTGCAGGCTATTATTAACAGGTCACGGCCTTGGTTTTTTGGGTATGTTACTGTGAATGGTGTTTCTGTAAGATTTTGTTCTTGAATACAGTGTCCTTCCCACAATTACAACAATGACTACCGGTATGTTTTTAAAATACGCTGGTGAATTTGCGTCAAAGGTGAGAAATTCCGTCTTCTCTATCAGCTGACTTTATCCTGAGTGAGTTCAGATGCTGTCTGTAACGACACAAACTAGTAATGAATCTTGGAACGAACGTGCTTCACTGAACTGCAAAATAAGTTGCCTGACTGGAAATCTGAGAAACAAGTTAATATACGTGACTTTCAAGACAAAGCAGGCACGAGAGAGGTCAACAAATGGTTCTGCGAAGGAAAGGCAAACGCAGCCTCTTTCTGTGGTGATTTACTGGAATTGCTCAGAACGATACAGATATCATTTCTAGAGGTTTAACTACCTAAATGGGGGTTACTTAGCTATTTCATTATTATGAAAGAGGCAGCTCTTAAGTTGCCTTGAAACTGGTTATCGGGCAAGAAATCTTGAAGGTCAAATATTTTCAAGTATTTTTTACTTTTTAGGGAAATCTTGTCTAGGAAGTTTTCAAAATACTCGATGAGTTCTGATGAAGGAATCGGAAGCAGCATTTTTCCCCGGACTGATAAAAACAAATTAGTATCTTGCAAGAAGATACGCAATAGAAATACTCTGCTTCATAACATGTTTTAAAAGTGATAACGTGCCATTCCTCTCTACTTCACCATCTCCGGTAGTCCAGGCACCATTTGTATTCCCTTGGGGTATCTGGGTCACATGGGCAGTGTATTCTCACAGCAAGTTCAAGCCCCATTCCTGTGCGTAAGCTGATGAGCAGGGCTGTCTATGTCTATGTTTCCCCACTTCTCAGGCAGGGAAGGTGCTGCTGCTCAAACTGTGTAGGAATTCGTCACCTGAGCCTCCTTTCTAGGAACATTTTTCAAGAGAACGGCTAAATGTTCATTTGGAACAACCTGCAGAAGGCCTTATGCTGTGCTGTGCTACCTGCCACTGTACCAGTGTTAGTAATAAAGGATACCAGGTAACGTGTTATAAAATCAAAGGCTAGAGAGGGCTTAGTCGTAACCGAACGACTAGTGAGTAATTCCTGAAATGCGAAGTAGCTATTCAAACTTCAAGCTTCTCTTGCTGCAGCAGCAAGATGTGCTGTACAGTAAATGGCCTGTAAGGATTTTTCTTCTTCCTCGGGTGTTCGTCTGGAGCCCTTCGGTTCTGTTGCATTTTCTATACGTGCAGCATCCCTACACATCCTTCCTGTGAAGCAAGTTATGTGGACTGAAGCATAACAGCAAGAAAGAACAAACGGTGAGTTTCTGAGAAAAAGCGAGATGGACATCTCTTCTAAATTGGTTAGAGCAATTCGTGGCGATGATGGGGTGACACAGACCGCTCTGGCTGCCACCACAGCTGTTTGCTTCATCGCTGCTGGAGCTGGTCATCCTTGAACACGGTGTCCATGCATCAGCTGTCACATTTTGCCACCTTAAATTGAAAGGCCGCTAAAAGGTTGGACTGGGTGACCTCCTGAGGTTACATCTGACCTAACTTGCCCTATGCGCATATGATTGATTGTTACTGCCTGACACAACAATGACAGAAGTGAAACAGCTGCTCTCCGTCAGCTGCTTCTTACCTGCTAGCCAGCATTCATGAATTTTACACTCCAAATTGAATACCCAAGATCTTACTTGTGTCTGCATTATTACAGCTGGTTTGAAGTCTTAAGCTTAAAGAAACAATTGCTTGTATATGAACGTAAAGACTCTACATTAAATTACCCTTAAAGTGTGGTTTGTGGGTAGACAGGCCATGAAAAAGACTTGCGTTTCAGTGCGTGTGTGAAAATACGCTCTGTGTGTTTTCATGTACTCGTGTATATGGAAAAACCAAGGCGCCAGGCTGCGTGGAGCTTTGGGATTCTTCAACAGGCCGTCAGGTGGCACTCCTTGCACTTAAGGAATACTTCTTTCTTCCTCTCCAGCCTGTACAGGGGAAGAACAGAAAGTGCAGAATTAGCAGCCTCGTGTTTCACCTACAGCTGCGCTCCAGGCTGAAGCTGGATTGTCAGGAACCCCGGCTGGACCATAAAACAGGTTAAAGGAGGAGGAATGTGGGGGGGATGTGGGGGGGGAGGTCTGCAACTAGCTGAGAGTTGAGAAGTAGAATTTACATCTAACTGGGTTTTCTGTGTTTCTTTTAACTTTGCTGCAAGGGGGACTTGGAGATGAGCCAGTAGCTCCTTTTTCTAGTTCAGAGTTCAGTGAATAACCCAAAAGGCCTCCTTTTGTGGTCTACGTGTCTACGTGCACCGCACCACTTGCATCCACTGCAGGGAAAAGTCCGATTTTCTGCCACCCTATGGCATCAACCCAGCTCCGCGAGAGAGGCAGGATGAAGTTGCAGGAAGTCAGAGAAACACAAAACTTGTCTCTGGCTCCTTGGCAAAGCTGGGCAGCTGGAGGGGTGTGACCGGCTGAGGACAGGGTAGTGTACCGTAGGTGTGAACGCTAAAAAAGGGAGACGGCCATGGCCTCAATCCCTCCGTTCGCTTTTAGCTTCTGCCAGGCCAGGCTGCTTTAAGATTAGATTAAATTTCTAAGAAGGTGCAGCAGCTTGGCCTGAATAGCTCACCCTGACTCTGTCCCAACCATCCCCTATCCTTCACATCATTTCATCTGCTTTTTCGTCCTAGTAAGCCTTAGACCTGACACTTCATAAACCGCATAATAAAGAATGTTTGAAGGAGCAAGAACCGACAAGCCAAATATTTGGCTCCCCCATTGCTTAATTTAGAAGCAGTAAATACTTTATTTTTCTTTAAATGACATTGATCTCTGGACTATAATTTGTGTGTTCACTGCAAGTACCTTCTCTTTAGAGATGTTACTAATTGCACAAAGTCTGGGGTAAAACGTGGACTAGAGCTGTGAAGTCCCAATACAGCATCTTACCTACAGGAATATGGTTTAGTTGGGGTTTTTAATTCTTCTAGTAGTTTCATTCAGCGACTTACTGATGGGGGGGAACAGCCCAAGGGTCTCTCTGCTCTTACTCCACTTCCTCCCCACTGCTTCACTCCCCTGCCTGTGCCTTCCCACGGACCACCCTGGTCTCTTCCCAGAAGCATCCCAGTAATTATCCCCTTTCTTCCCAGAAGGATCCATTCAGTGGGTGTGCTGCCACCCAGCAGATTTTTGTAAGCGGATTTTTGATTCGCCAGGAGGGTGTGGGTTGTGTTTTGAGAGAGGCACAAAGCAAAAAAGCTGTGCAAATTGCTTGCTCAGAGGGTGCCCACCTGCAGAAGCTGCTGCAGCCTCTGCAGCACTTGCCTGCAGCCCATGTGTGGTGGAACGCAGCCTGCCCACAGCACCCACACGTGGCTTGAGGAAGCACTGTCCATTTTCTTCAGCTCAAGGGCAGCGCTTCTCAGAAGCAAGAAATAATTTGACCAGAGCGGTTTATTTTTTATGCCTCTTCATTTTGAGCTGTCCTCGTTTCGGCTGGGATAGAGTTAATTTCCTTCCTAGTAGCTGGTACAGTGCTGTGTTTTGGATTTGGGATGAGAACAATGTTGATAACACACTGATGTTTTAGGTGTTGCTACGTAGTGCTTACACTAGTCAAGGACTTTTCAGCTTCCCATGCTCTACCGACTGAGAAGGCTGGGGGTGCACAAGAAGTTGGGAGGGGGCACAGCCGGGACAGCTGACCCAAACTGGCCAAAGGGATATCCCACACCATATGACGTCATGCTCAGCATCTAAAGCTGGGGGAAGAAGAAGGAGGGAGGAGACGTTCAGAGTGATGGCGTTTGTCTTCCCAAGTAACCGTTACGCGTGATGGAGCCCTGCTTTCCTGGGGATGGCTGAACACCTGCCTGCCCATGGGAAGTAGTGAATTAATTCCCTGTTTTGCTTTGCTTGTGTGCGCGGCTTTTGCTTTACCTATTAAACTGTCTTTATCTCAACCCAGGAGTTTTCTCCCTTTCACCGTTCCGATTCTCTCCCCCCCCATCCCACCAGGGGGGAGTGAGCAAGCAGCTGCGTGGTGCTTAGTTGCCAGCTGAGGTTAAACCACGACATGAGCGCAGTGTACCAAGTCCAACGTTTTTGACCTGTTTAATGCATAACCCAGCACACGCTTGCTATTTACAGGCATTACTCCCAAGACTTGTAGGGGCTGTGCTATTTATAGCGCAGAGCAGATCTTACGCTAGTTGTTTTTCAACCAACAGCAAGATAAACTCCCTGGTATGTGACAGGACCACACAACTTGGCACAGGCTGCTCCAGATAACGTGGCGGTGGATGGATACGGTACAAAGTCTGGGCTGTTCTGGCAGATGGCAAATGGGAACACATCCAAAGGAAAGAGTCATCCTGAGAATAAAACACCCTGGGGGCTTCAGAGGGGACGGCACCTCTACGAGGCAGGGTATGGAAAGCCGCGAGTAGGGGACCTCAGTCTCAAATCTGCTGTCTTCTGCAGGATATGTCGCTAAGAGTTATTTGGGTTAGTCTTTAGCTTTGCGTTTAGCAGTACCTATACAGGAAGTTTAATTTAAACATAAGAAACAACTTTATTACAGTGAGAGTGGTTGAACACAGGAACAGGTTGCCCAGAGAGGTTGTGGAGTCTCCATCCTTGAAGATACTCAAACCCCAACTGGACGCGGTCCTGGGCAGCCGGCTCTGGATGACCCTGCTTAGGGTGAGAGGGCTGGACCAGGCCATCTCCAGGAGCCCCTTCTACTTCCACAGCCCTGGGTTTCTGCCTAACAACCCCATGAGCACTTCGCAACAGAGTGAACTTACAGCTGAAGGAAGTCAAGATCCACCTGCTTGCCCTTGCGCTGGCACAGCCCAGGAGTGCTCACACCATCTCTAACCATCAGTTTATTTCCAGCTGCATGTTTCTGCCTCTCCTTGCAAGGTTCAGCATGGGCAGCTCTCATCACTGCCACCACCCAGGCCACGTCCGGGAGGGACAGGTCCCCCATCCCATGCATCGGAGACTGGGGAACTTCAGGCAGGACCCGGGCACATGCCATGACACAGACAGGTACAAGGAAGCTCTGCCCTGCCAAGCCGGGTGGAGAAGCAGGTAGCTGAGTCACCGCTTCTCAGGGCCTGCCCTGGAAAGGCAGGTTTTAATTGCTGCTTCCTCGCCAAGCCACACGGCGGGGGGGACGGGACAGAATTATCAGCCCTGCAGATGACGTGAATTAAAGCTCAGATGTAATTAACTTTGAATGTACCTATAAGAGATTTAGAAGGCAGGAAAAGCATCTGATGACAGGAAATAGGTATTTCAGGCACTGCAAAACCCCAGGACTATTCAAGCTAGCTGGCAACATTTCCCAGGCAATTTGGCAGAGTTAAGAGGACACCACCCAAGAGGTTTTACTGCTAATGTTTGGGCTGACGCTTGGGTCTCGAAATGCAGTTTTGCAAAGCAGACACACATCCCAACTGGTAAACGATGCCATGACTTCGGAGCTTTTTGCAAGGCATTATGGACACGGGCATCCCCTGAAGGAACGAGGAGACCTGAGGCTGGAAGAAAACACCTAAAGTTTCCTTAATGCAGCCTTCCTCTTAATGCTTTTACAGGCTCCAGAAATGTTACCTTCCCTCAGGACTCTTCTGCAGTGGAGCGCTCCCACACTAAATCAACGCTTTGCACCCTTCGCAGCGCAGGCGCTGAACCACACATAGGGTCGTGGTCAGTCTGTGCCCGCCCTGCAGCAGGTACTGAGAGAAATGCTGCCTTAACTTCTTCAGGAAGAGAGCTTGGAGGTCTCTGCTGTTGGGCAAGCATCCTCACTCAGCTTTGGGTTGTTATATGACGGGTTGATCCCAGCCCCGGGTGTATTTTCACACGTGGCTGTGGATTTGTGTTGAAGTGATGCCATTTTCAGGAGATTGACAAGTAGATGTCCTGTTTGCGAATCCTGCCCCAGTTTCCAGTCTCCTTGTGTCTCTCCCTTTTCTTTCTTCAATAGAAAGACTACCCAAGCTTGGCGTGAAACTGCTCCTGGGTGATGCTAGCATGGTTAGATACACTGCATTCAGTGTCCGCTGAAGGGTATGTCCCATGAACTGCCACGGTTCAGCTGTGTCATGTGTCATCCTGCCACCTCTGCCAAAAGAGGAGAAGCACCCTCAGCATTTCAAGATTAGTTTGCTTCCCCGAGATGGTCAGCAGCTTGCCACACTGAGCTTTTGTCAAGCAGCACCAACTCAGGGCAGGTTGCAGCAGCAGCCAGAGGCTACACTGCTGGCCATGACTTGGTAGCCACTCTTCTCTAGGCATTTTTTTGCAACTCTCAGCCAAGGGCTTAGGTAGCACCTAACCGCCTGGAAGGGCAGGCACCAGGCTGCTGCCAGCCTTCGTCTTGGAGAAAAAACCCCAAACGTTTTCCTCAGCGAAGTATTTTATCATTTAATCCACCACCCACATCAGGGGCGTAGCACAAAAGCCTGCAGCTCTGCTGAGGTGGGACAACACTTGGGGAGCTAACGCAGCCTGGAAGGATGCAAAAGCGCTGGGTTAGCGAGGGGGCGGGAGAGGCCCCCACACACGTGTGGGAGCAGAAACGGCGAGGGAAGGTGCCGGGGAGGTAGGAAGCAGAGCTGCTGTTCTCTGTGCACTCTCGCCAGAGGAAACTAGAGCAAATTTGCAAACCTACTGTAAGCACCGGAGGTGTAACCAACTGTCTCCCACTTCCCCTACTCCTTCATCCCCGCCCCGGTGGACGTTCAGTCGTAGATAAAGCTGCCTTGCGAGTACCTGAACAAGAGCTTACACCATCGTAATCAACAACAAAAAAGCCTCCCAACCAGAACACACGTCCTTGGATTGCTACAAGTGAAAATAACTTTTGTTTGGGCAGCACAACATCCGCGAGCTAAAACACAGCGACCTGTCTTTGTCGTCTCTAGGACAGTAGGAACGGGTTTTTCTGCTCTTACGGAGAGGCCTTGCCCCGGTTGGGACACCAGGGGGACCCAGTCACCCGCTCTTGCTTCCCGCTGTCCCCGGGCGCAGGTTCCCCGGGGCGTTTCCGCAGCCCGCTCCCTGCGCCCCGCCAACAGCCTCGGGTCACCCGCAGCAAGGGCGCGCAAAAACCCCGCACCCCTCCTGCATTTGTACAGGCTGACTTCTACCGTAAAAATACATGCTCTCCCCGGCTGCGTCATTGAAAAATTACAGAGTTAACTTACTACAGTTTTTGCTTGTTCATTAAAATATGACCGTGCAGAACACGTGCCCAGCACCACATTACTTACTATTTACGTTGCGGCTGGGGAAGGGGAAGTGAAGGGAAAATAAATATGCCCAATCTGACAGCTCAAACCTTGCTTTTTGCTATCGGGAACACCATCGACCAGACTACTCTCAGAAAACAGATTCGGTTATTACCCATGGCCCCAATTCATTTTGCCAAACGTTAGCGGTGTCTACAGTCACGTTTTCCTTGGAGAAATATTTACTCCTTGACGTCCAAAGATGTTGCGAAGTGCCCAAGTAAAAACAGTTCTTCTGAAGTATCTTTCAGTTCCAGTAACCCAGGGTACTGCACTCACCAACAGCCAAGACTGCTAAATCGACACAATTCTAAGTAAAACTCTGTAGAAATTCTGTCGTTACGTTGTCAGTTCTGTTTTGGGGTTTTTTTTGTGGATTTTTTGTTTTGTGTTTTTGGTTTTTGGTTTTTTTTTTTTTCTTTGGCACATTCGCTCCCATCTTCACTGTATGGAAAAACTTCTCAGGATTGCAACAGCAATTAATTAAGCTCCAAAATTCTAGTTTCCTTATGTTTCTTAAAGCTGCCACCATGTCCTCTGCTATAATGCAATCTTTATGTAAACAAGCTTTAAAAAGCTATTAATACAGTAACATAAGCAAGATACATTTACAACCCAAGTGACATGACTTGTCTTAAGACAGTTCTGATCTTTTTTGTTTGCTTGGCTTTTTGTTTGACCCTTGCTGTCTTTAGATAGTGAAATACCAGCTCACAACCCAATACAATATTCAGGTATTAGGCTTTCTGCTTGTGAGCAGGAGTCAAATCTCTGCATTATAGTTATTCTGGATCAATTTTTTATTTAAAAGCAAAAATAAAATTGAACCACACCAGCTTTTGAAACAAGCCCAGGAGAGGAACTGGTTCCACCCTGGCAAACCACACCGACAGGCCCGTAAAGAGCACTGGATCCGCACGGTGAATATTCAGAGATGGAATTTTACTTCCCATCTCCAGCAGCATTTGAAAGGAAGAATAGGTTTCCAGTTTGGACACTGCCCTGAAGCAGTGAGTCAGCTGCATGCAATACTGGCAAGCTGTCAGTCCATCCCCCACCACTCAAGACGCGAGGCATGCTTTCTGCCACGTGAAGGTGCCGGTACTGGGCTTACAGGGTAAACGAGCTGCTCACCTTTTCCAGCATTTATCACCACGTTATATACAAGGTAGTTGCAGTAAGTTCTCCAGAAGAACCCATAAACTATTACCAACTAAATTTAATCCTGAGCTGCACATTTAGTATGAGGGGGAAAAAATCCCCAAAGTCCAACAACTTAAAACTGGAAGACAGACAAGGGAACCAACTCCTAGTTCAAGCCAAAAGTTACAAACCTCTCATCTTCAGAGATAAAAATGCGCTATTTTGCAACACACATCCATGAAGAGAAAGGATGGATGGGATGCATCAACAATTGTCTTTCTGAGGCAAACACATTGTGTATTCTTTCTCCTCATACTTCATGCTCCTCCTCAAAGCAGACACCTATAGCATATTTTTGCTTGGCACCTCCCATATTCCTCATACCCACCCCACACACGTGTTTTATCTTGGTCTCATGCATCAGTCTCTTCTCATCCTACTTTACCATTTCTATTCAACTCATTCCTTCCCTCCCTGTCCTGCTAAGGACTTGAGTCTATCCCCAGTAGGTTGGTGATTTGCATCTCATCTGCTCCTTCCACTTTTAGAGCCAACTCTTAGTACCGGGGTCGGCCATTTTTTCTTATTTCAGGAAAGGGATAAATGTGCTGTATGTTCACTCAACTTGAAAGCTATGGGGAAAAGCTTGATGGAACTGAGTAAGTGGTAGCAAAAGTCAACAGAGCGAATTCTCTGGAACTGGTTTTGTCTGGTAGGACAGAGGACCTTGAACCTGCCTCTGACAGCTGCTATCCACCCCCACCAGACAGGATCAGGCAACTCGGATTCAGCAGACATTCTAGAGCGAACACGGGTCTTGCAGCAGTGTAATAACACAAACAGGCTTCAATGCATTTGCAGTAATTACTTACATTCAAGCTTTACTTTACACCCGCAAAAAAGCTAAGCGAGTATTTTATATGAAAGCTGACTATGGGAGACCCAGGTTTCTGCAGATCCATACCCCCCCCCCCAAGCAGATGAGACCCAAATCCAATTAAGTCTCATAAATTTCTTCCAAGTCTTTGCTACTCAGTACTCAAATTCCCACTATGTATTTGCAAGTGCATGCAGCCATCTGCATCGCTGCATGCCTGCAGGCAACGTACACGCGCTAGACTGCTGGGGTTCTGAAACTTTGAGTTTGCTGTTGTCATTTAGCAGTCTCCCCGCTTCTTCAAAGCATTCAGCAGGCACAAAAATGGTACTTTCCAGCCTGATTATACTTACCAGTGTGACTTAGAGATGTGATCTTTCCACTCCTGACCTTAAAGTGGTCAGCACAGCCAGATGTTTTACATAAGATGCAGGCTGTCAGCTAGCTTCCTCTGATTTGCAAGCGTCTTTCTTTTGAAAAACACCCAAGAGAGACTTCATCTTTCCTTGGTGCAGTGTTTGACTTTACTATGCAAAATGATCCCCCTGCATATTGTGCTCAGCAATGTGGTAACTAAAAAAAAAAACCAGGTCTACACAGGATGGTTGCAAGTGCTAGAAGCTTCCTCGTTCAATGTAAAACAACGATGGGGAAGAGGCTATTTCAAGAGAACGTGTCAGAAGTTATACAGCACTGAAGCATGGAAAAAGCCTCAAGGCACTTTGGGACCAGCTCAGTGCTGCTGCGCTTAGGTTTCAGCCTCACACACTGGCAAGAGCAGAACTGAGCACCACGGGTACCCAAGTGCCAGGACAGGTGCACTAAGGCTGGCAGACTCATCCAGAGATCCAGGTAACCCTTCCTGAACCAGCACAAGATGGACAAACACAGGCAAGGGGGGCTTCACAAGAGTTAGAGCAATGGCAGAAGCACAGCCAGCCAGATGCTTCCTTGATGACCATACAGTCATTACGAAGCTCATCGAAAAGCTTAGGGAAATTGTGTGGCATCTCGTATGGGTGGCATCTGTAGACTCTACCATCCTTCTGCCATCTTCGAAGGGCTCATAATTCATTGGGAAACATGTAAAACTGAAGCGCTCCCATTAAACCTTACAAATCCTGTTTGAAGAGGACATCCGTTTTGCACCTCACATACCTGTCAGAAAGTGCTGAAAAAGCTAGAGCTGCCTCTATGTCCGTCATCACTCTCCAGTCAGCCTAAACTTGGTGCTGTTTTGGAGGGAGAAATCATCAGGAAAACGATCACCACACCCAGGTTAACTGTAGGCAGTCTAAAAAAACCCAGATCCTTCTCCGGTGCAGAAACAGCTCTGATTTAAAAAAAAACAAACAAAACCCCAAAACAAAACACCAACCCACCAAACACACAACAAAAAAAAACACCCCCCAGAAAACCACCAAAAATCCACATGCCCCCTTTATCAGGGGGCATTTATAAATTAGTTGCTACGGATTTAAAAGTTACATAGATTACAAATAACCACATAGTTTTCAAGAACCTTTATACATCATCTTTTTTAATTAGATTAGCTTTACAAGCAACTTGAGAGCTCTTTCATAATGAACACTGCTTTTCAAATTACACAACTTTATAGGCAACCTGTAAATGAATCCTGAATTTCTTTGCCTGCTATAGATAAAGGTCTCATATTTTACAGCTGGCTAACATCATGAATAAAAATAGCAGTATGAAGCTTTATCTTTAACCAGGACTAGACACATACAGATCATAAGACAGTTTAAAAAATAGTTTTAAAACAAGGACCTGCTTGGTGATGCTCAAGACCGAACATTCAACCGACATGAAATGAACAGTTTCTAAAGGACATTGAAGAAATGGCTGACCTGATTTGTTGACTTACATGGAGTGAAAAATTAAGCACTTTTTAAACCTGTCTGGCAAGCACAAACCTACAGTGTGATTAGAATTTGATACGCCGCGTAACTGCAGAAGTTTGAATTACAGAGGGACTGAAATGAGTGTAAAGGCTTATGCTTACATTTCTAAAATAAAACCAACCAAACCTCCGTTAAAGTAGTACTTAAAGAAGATGAAGTAGAAGAGGTGGCTTTTTTGCTTGTTTCATTGGTAGCCTAAATGAACTGCAGACCAGACAGTAATGAAGATTTGCACTCCTTGGCCAGGTTGGCAGAGGCACTTACAGTAAAGGTATCCTGTCTGTTTTTCTGGGAAGAAAAGAGGAAAGAGGAAGAGAACTGTAAAGGGCAAGAACTTACTAAAAAAAGGAAAAGCGAAA